CCCAAGAAGCCACCAAGAGGCGTCCCAAGAGGCCCTACAGAAACAAAAATCGTCCCATTCCCTTTTTTTGAAAAACGTAATTTTTTTAGCGCATTCGCCCCGTGGGCTTTCACGAGGCCCACAACGGTCCAAGAAGCTTCCAAGATCGACCCAAGATAGCCCTAGAAGCCCGCAAGAGGGCTCCAAGATAGCGCCTGAGGGCTCCAAGTCTACAGAGCTTCCAAAACGGCCCAGGAGGGCACCAGGACGGCCCCAAAAGGGTGCCCAGAGGGGGAATCTGAATGAACCATTTCGAGCACTCGGCCCCGAAAAAACCTGAGGAGGCGCCACGAGGCCCCCAAGACCCCGAGAGGCCCACAGGAGGCCCCTAGAGGCCTCAACACGGCTCCCAGGAGGCCTCAAAAAGGCTGCCAAGAGTGCCTAGAGAAGCCCAAGAGCAGAGCCGCGATCCGCCAACCGCTCCCGACGAAATCCCAAGAAGCTGAAACCCTAAGATTCCCCAGAAATCGCGCGTGTTCGGCAAACTCCGTTTTTCACTCGTACTGCCGCCCCAAGGGGTCGGCGGTGCGGCGTCAGCCAATGAATCATAGATTTCCTTCAGATGTTTAACAAACTGTACTTTTCTCCCCCTTTCGGACTTCGAACGCACCAAGACGGTCCAAGGGACCCACAAGACCGCTTCTAAACGGTCGAAGAGACTCTTAAGAGGGTCCCCTTTTATCACGGCTTGGAATGGCTTAAAGACGGGCCAGGAAGCCCCGAAGAGGGGCCAAGAAGGATCCAAGACAAGAGACCCAAAGAGTTGCCCAAGACCGGGAACCGAACTCACATTTCGACCCCTTCCCTCCGAAAATGGCCCCAGACTGCAAGAAGGGCTCCCAAGAACTCCGAGACGCCTCCGAGAGACTCCAGGGAAGCCCCCCGAGGCCTAGACGAGGTCCGTAGGAGGCCCCAGGGCCCCCCAGAGCCCCCAGACGGCCCTGGAAGTCTCCGAGAGATCCCCGAAACAACCAAACGAGACTCTAGTCCAAGCCGAACCGAGAAGCCCCCTGAAACACCAGGAGGCATTCAAGAAGCCACCGATGATAGTTCCACTTGAAAGTGACCACCACGACGACAACGCAATCCGCCACCGTGCCCCTGCACGGAGTGAGCGTGCACGCACCTTGCAAACTTGAGCCTCTAAAGAAGCCCCCATGAATCTCCCCAGACCCCCCCTAACAGCTTCCCAATAGGCCCGTGAGTGCGATCCGAAGAGCCCCTTAAGAAGCATCCCTCTGGACTCGGACCATCAAACCATGCGCGGTGGCGGATGGGCAGAAGGCCGCTAGATAGCATCCACAACCACCCCGAAGCCGGGATTATCCCCTGCCCCCAATGGAAATACGCAATGATTACCCCAGTGCGACCCTACCTAGAAGTTGGAGCCCCTAGGAAAGCAGCATTAGTTGCTATGTTATGATATGCTATGCTATGCTATGCCATGCTGTGTTGCGCTATGCTATGCTATGATATGCTATGATATGCTATGCTATGCTATGCTATGCTGCGATATGCGATGCTATGCTATGCTATGCTAAACTATGCTATGCGAAGCTATGATATGCGATGATATACTAAGCTGCGCTATGCTATGCTAAGCTGCGCTATGCCATGCTATGCTATGCTATGCTATGATATGATATGCTATGATATGATATGCTGCGCTGTGCTATGCTGTGCTGTGCTGTGCTGTGCTCTGCTATGCTATGCTATGCTATGCTGCGCTATGCTATGCTATGCTGGGCTATGCTATGATATGATATGCTATGCTGCGTTCTGTCATGCTACGCTATGCTATGCTATGCTGTGCTCTGCAATGCTAAAGCTCAGCGAAGCTAAGATGAAGGTAAGCTAAGCTAAGATAAACCTGAGCTAAGATGAAGCTAAGCTGAGCTAAGAGTAAATAAGCTAAGCTAAGATGAGATAAGCAACGCTAAGCTAAAGGGACGTAACTGGGGGAACCGCGGGGCGGATACTGGGGGAACCGCCCGGGGCGATTTCCACTGCCCGGCCCCTTCAAGAAAGAGAGTAAGAACCCTATAGGCAGAGCCTAGGTAAAAATTCGATTATGCCCCATCGCTGAAACATGTGAATACATACCATCCCAGCAAAGCCGACATCGACAACCCCTCCCTCACCCCTTGCAAGAATGCAACAACGAACGAGTTATTACCACACATATGCACATTCGTTTATCCGAAAACATCAATTGTCAAGAACACCTTACAAAAAAGGCGCAATGCACACGCGCGCGCGTCGTCTCGCGCGCATGCCAAATTTGCTCCGAAGCCGCAGGTGTCGTAAGGATTTCAAAACCAGTGTCCCGAGAACACCAAACAAAACTAATGTTGCAGCATGGTTGATCGAATACACTTTGCATAGAAATGGAGCATGGTTGTCTGAATGCGAATAAGAGTAAGCAAGTACGCATATATGTATGTATACATATACGCACTGTGTGAATATGTATATACATGCCCCACTTCGTGATGCATAACCGCGAGGGCCCCTCAAAGGACTCCCAGGATAGCACGAATGCCAGCTGATCCAGAGCTTCAAGGAACAAGGTGCATGGCGCGAAGCGCCAATGCAGTCTTGTATATATATGCATACATACACACACATACATACATGCATACACTCGCGCGTTCATACGGAATCATGATATACACATGTATGTTTATATACGTACAAACATGCAAACATACACACATACACACATACACACACGTGCATACGTACATGCGTACACACGTACATACAAACATACATGCATTCATACATACATACATGCACACACATGCATACATACATACATACATACATGCATACATACATACAGATGTACACCTATACATACATACATACATGCATACATACATACATGCATGCATGCATACATACATATGCATATACATATACATATACATATGCATATACATATACACATACACGTACACATACACATACACATACATATACACATACATATAGATATACATATACACATACAAATACACATACATATACACATACACATACATATACATATACATATACAAATACATGTACATGTACATATACATATACATATACATATACATATAGATACATACATACATACATACATACATACATACATACATACATACATACATACATATATACACCTATACATACATACATATATACACACATACATACATACATGCATGCATGCATACATACATACATACAAACATACATACATACACATATATACATACATACATACATACATACATACATGCATGCATGCATGCATGCATGCATGCATGCATGCATACATACATACATACATACATACATACATTACATACATTAAATACATACATACATACATACATACATACATACAAACAAACAAACAAACAAACAAACAAACGAATATATATATATGTATATATATAGATATATACAAAGATACATACATGCATACACACATACATGCATACAGACAGACAGACATACATACACACTTGTTTGGGTCTGCGGGTCGGGAGCGGGCCACATACATAATTCACACACATACATACAAACACTAGAACCACGCGCGCTACGCGCGTTTAGGTTCTAGTCAGCTCCGGAACATCATCCTCTTCCTCCTCATGGACTATGTCCTCATCCACTCCCATGGCAGGCACGCAATCTGGGCGTCGACGTCGTTGTCGGCGTCGTAGCCGCCATCGTCGCCATGGTCGCGGGGAGGGGAGGAGGAAAAGGACGAGAGGAGAGGGAGGCAGGAAGGCAGGGAAGAACGGAAGCACCCAGGCAGGAGACACAAGAAAGGAGGCGACGGGAAACGTAGCGAGAGATGGATCGGCAGATGAGTAGGGGTTCCTTATTATTCCTTTTCCTCCGCCTGTTGATACAGTTTCTCCTGCACCTCCTGTTCCTCCTGTTCCTCCTGCCTCTCCTGCTTTACCTGCTCATCCTGCTCTTACTCATCCTTTTGTTTCTCCTCCTCCTTTTTGTTCCTCCTCTTCCTCCTCCCCCTCCTCCCCCTCTTCCTCCTCCTCCTCCTCCTCACCAGCATCATCACCACCACCACCACCACCACCATCATCATCATCATCATCATCATCATCATCATCATCACCATCATCATGTTCATCATTGTCACCATCGATATCATGACTAGCATCATCATCATCACAACCATCATCAACATCATCATTACCATCATCATTATCATCATCATCATCATCAGCAACATCATCATCATCATCATCATCATCATCATCATCATCATCATCATCATCATCATCATCATCATCAATATCAACATCACCAGCATCCCCGTTATCCTCACATTCGTGCTCTGCCTCTTGCTTTTCCTCCCCTCCTCGCCCTCCTCTTCCTCTTTCGACTGGCGGCGAAAATCATGTCCCCGGAAAGTTTTCCAGGAACATGATGATGTGGGCCGCGTTGGGGCCTTCGTGGAGGGTTCCAAGGTACCCCAAATGGAGCTGCAGAGCCCGAAAGACGGCCCAGGCGAAACATCGAAAAACCTGGAGGTGGAGCTTGGAACTGAGATGGAGGAGGCGTGAGGTGACGGAGCAAACACGGCTGGAGCCGGGAAAGCCACAAAAGAGGAGGGTGAGGAAGAGCGTGGGGGGGGTCCGACACAGCCCACGTAGAATGTCGGCCCAGCCCGCCGCCGGGCCTGGACGGCAGGTCTAAAGCCTGTAGGCTGTTCGGTGGGATGCTGACGGAGGCCGCGCGGGGGTTTCTTGGGGGCCGCCGTTTGGCCTCTCGGGGCTATTCTGGGGGGGCCTTCTGGGGCGTCGTGGGGGCCTCATAGGGGTCCTCTTGGGGCCTCGAGCCTCTGAAAGCCTTTCTCAGACCTCCTGGGAGCCTCTTGGTCCGAAACACTGGACATTCCGGTTCATGCTCCCTTTCTTGAGCCCATCTTTTTTTTTTCCTGGCATTCACCATGTCGCCAACCGTGGGCACGGTGATCCAACGGCTACAGAAGGGCGATGATGGCGGCAAATTCTGCACAACTTATAAGTACAGCGAGCGAGCTACCACTGGAACAATCACGGGCCCGGGCCATTTTTGGCGAAGACAGCGTAGATACGACCGTGGTCACTGGCATGTGCTGTACAGCGCTCCGTGGGACATTGGACATTGTAGTCGTCCTCGACGGAGCTGAAAAAAAGCGCAAAAGAGTCAACGGGCAAGCACGCGAGTGGCCCTGCCGCAGAATGGCGGCATTTCGCGGCGACAGCGGCAAGAGAAGTTGACTAAGGTCTGCAAGAGTGCATTTCTGACAACTCGCCGTGCCCTCCTCCTCACTCCTATCCCTCCTGTGATGTATGACGTCCTGGAGGGTTGTGGTTTCTGTTGGCATGGCGAAGGCGTGCAAAAGAGCAAACGGGCGCTTGAGGCAGCGGCAGGCCTGGGCGTGGCCCTCAAGTAAACAAGCACTGGAGCCGGAGGCGCGTGCGGCGCGTCAGCACCGAAATGACCGAAGGGTCTTCATTCACGTGGACGTGTGCGCCGCGACCCATGGTGCGGCTCCCTCTTTAGGGGCCTGCGAACAGCGTCCCTAGTACTAAGTATTGGTGTCGTCTTCCTCCCGCCACCCTTCCTCACTCACCTCTCATGTACCCTCCCGTGTATGGGCCATGCTCCCAGAAGCCAACCCAATATAACCCTGTCACCGAATGGGAGATCATCGTGCGGATCCACCAACACGAATCAGCATTCGGCTTTCTCATAGCATGCATATGCATGGGAAGCGGCGGGCTGAGGTCACAGTGCGCCGTGCACGAGACGATGACAACACGCCATCTTTGATGGTCATACGGATAATGCAAAAGAGGAGCGATGAATGTCACGAAAATACTATGCCACGCTGTAGACACGCTCAGCTTCAGAAGACGATCGGAGCGTGTGTGCAGAAGCCGGATGCTCCTGCGGATCGTCTATGCGGCGTGCCTATCTGGCATATCTGGCGCTGAAAGCTCCAACTGCCGGCGAACCTCCAAAGACATTAATACCTTCTTTGTCGAGGAGAAGCGCTCGAAAGAGATCTGCTCGCCGTCCCTGAACAGCACAGGCTTGTACTCCTCGGGAAGACCGTCCATCGTTAACTGCTTGGTCTCGAACCGCTCGACGTTCGCGAGGAACCCCTGTATCGCGGCCCAGCCAACAGCACAAATCCTGTGGTCACGTCTCGGTTTCCAGTCGTTGAACCCAGTGAAGACCTCCATGAATCGAACGGCATCCTCTGAGGCAGTTAAATTCACAAATGAATAGCCGACGTGGTACCCGGACTCGAAGTCGATGGGCAGGTAGAGGAAGTCGTACCTGCCCGAGAACCCCTTGGAGTCCAGCAGGTCGATCAGCATCTGGCGCGTGTAGCAGTAGGGCAGGTTGCGCATCATCACCGTCGTGGGTGCCGCGCACGGCCCGCCTCCTGGAGCATGCCTGCCTCTCCGGGGCGCGCCGCCCGGGGAGCGGGGCGCCGGCCACGGAGCCGACAGGCGCACCTGCCCCTGGGAGGTGCGCGGTGCCCCCGCCACCCCGGGGACGGCCGCGGGGACGTAGGCGCTGGCCCTGGAGCTGAGGGGCGTGCGCTGGCTCGGGGAGCCAGCCTTCCCCGGGCAGCCCGGCGGCGAGCTCTCCCTCGCCGGGCAGCCCTGCGCCCCGCCGCTGGGGCGTGGCAGGCCGGGTGGCGGCCGCGGATCCTGGCCCTGCGGCCGGAGCTGCGCCAGGAACCGACCGCCGCGGCTCGCAGGGCCCGAGCCGAGCGCACCGTCGTCTGCGAGCAGACTCCAAATCTTGTTGACATCGTCACAGCTGGGAATAGCTCGTGCGGACAGCGACGCTTCTCCCTCTGGGCAAACCCCGTCGCAAGTACCCTCGCAACGAGGATGCAAGTCGACATGGGTTTCGCGAGTCATGGCGGCGCTGCTGCGGTACCGGGAAATTCAGCGCTCTTGCGTGTAAGTATATATACGATCGTGCCCTACCAACGTTGGCGGTGGGACTTGAGCCAAAATGGCTACGGACCTTTTCTTGAGCCCATCTTGGGCCGTCTCTAAGGCCTCTTCGGCCGTCATGGACCCCTGTTAGGCTGGCCCAGGGCCATCGTGGGAACCTCCTTGCCCGTCCAGAAACGGTGGTGGAGGCTTCTTGAGCCGCCATGGATCGTCGGAAACTCGAGGTGCGGAGGACCCCAGAACACTGCAAAACGCAAGGGAAATCAAAGGTCTTGGCCTCCCGGGGCGTTCGTCTGGAGCCTCGGGCGCCCACTGGAGCTTGCGCGGGGCCCTCCTGGCGCCTTCTGGAAGCCTCCTGGAAGCCACTTGGCGCGAAAGATTCGAACTTTTGGTTCATGCTCCCCCTCTTGAGCCCATCTCGGGGCCGTCTCTGGGGCCTCTGGGGCCGTCTTGGGCGACCTTGGGGCCGTCATGGAGCCCTGCCAGGCCGTCCTAGGGCCCTCCTGGGGGCCGCTTGGCCCGTCCTGAAGCGGTGTTGGAGGCCTCTTGGGCCGTGGTGGAACGTCAGAATACAGCAACATAGAGGGTGCCGAAAACAATGAAAAACCCAAGGGCAATCAATGACGTTTTGCCTGTCGGGGCACACGTCTGGGGCCTAGAGCGCCCACTGAAGCCCGCCCGCCTGCCGTCCTGGCGCAGCCTGGAAGCCTTCGAAGGCCGCGAAGAAGGCATCTTCGGTGCTCTCGGGGTGTGATAGACCCAGTCTGGTAGACTGTCGTACCAATATGTTGTCCTCCTCCTCCTCCTCCTCCGCCTCCTCCTCCTCCGCCTCCTCCTCTTCCGCCTCCTCTTCCTCCTCCGCCTCCTCCTCCTCCTGTGGTAGACTGTTGTACCACGTTAGCAGCCACGAGGGCGCCCCTGGGGAGCCCAAAGCGGGCATGTGTACCCGGGGCCATGGTCCCGGGCCCGCCCGCGGCCTACTCCGATGTATAATATATATTTGTATATATATATGTGTGTGTGCATACACATGTCCACATACATACATACATACATACATACATACATACATACATACATACATACATACATACATACATACATACATACATGCATACATACATACATACATACATACATGCATACATACATACATACATACATACATACATACATGCATGCATATATATACATACATACGTACATATGTACGTACATACCTAAATATATATATATAATATATATACACATACATGCATACATACATACGTACATACATACGTACGTACATACATACATACATACGTACATGCATACATACATGCATGCATACATACATACATGCATGCACGCATACATGCATCCATGCATACATGCATACATGTATACATACATACACACACACATACATACATGCATACGTACATGCATGTGTATACATATATAGATATATATGTGTACCTGTATGCATGCATAGATACATACATACATACATACATGCATGCATACATACATACATGCATACATACACACATACATGTACACGCATGTGTACAGCCATTCATGCATACATACATACATACATACATATATACATACAGCATGCATACATACATACAAACATACATACATACATACATACATACATACATACACACACGCATGCATACATGCATACATGCATACATGTATGCATGCATACGTACGTACACACATGCATGCATGCATACATACATGCATGTATGCATACATACATTCATACATACATACATGCATGCATACACGCATACATACATACATACATACATACATACATACATACATACATACATACATGCATATATATACATACATACATACATACATACATACATACATACCTACATACATACATACATACATACATACATATATACATATATATATATACACATACATACATACATACATACATACATGCATGCATGCATGCATGCATGCATGCATACATAGAGAGAGATGCATAAACATATATATGTACACATGCATAAACATACATAGACAAATACCCATACATATGCACACGTATAGATACATAAACACATGTACGCATAGATATATATATATATACATACATACACGCATATACATGCACACGCATGTGCATGTGTCTACAAATGCGTTGTGTAAACTGTTTGGTGCTGGCTGCGGGTGCACGCGACGTCGCACACACGTACCATCTGGGCGGTGCAAGCCATGTGGCACAAGGCAGGCGCTCTGGGCCACGTGGTTCAGGCTGCTTGCTGCGGGCCGTGCTGGTGCACTCCACGTGGGACACGCTGTGGCAACGGCTATGCGGTGCAAGCTGCGCGGCCGCCCGGCGCACGCGGCGCCCACGAGGCGCCCACGAGGCGGAAGCCAGCCGGAGCCTCGGCGGACCCGCCCGGCGCAGGAGGCGCCCACGCGGTGCCCGCGGAGGGGGCACCGGGCGAGGCCTCGGCTGGCCCATCCGATTCCTTCGGGCACTCAGAAGTGCTTTTCGTGGGTGGATCTCCCAGGCTCTCCGCCGCCTCGGGCGGTGTGCGCTGCGAGCAGGAGCAAGGCAGAGCCACGGGAAAGCGCGGCATTGACAGTGCAGCTCTGCACACGTGACACGTGTTGGCAAGCAAGAACACAGCAGAGCCCCAGGAGAGCGAGGCATTGACAGTGTAGCTCAACATTGACAGTGAAACATCGGCTGACCCACCTGATTCCTTCAGGCACAGAAGGAAGAGCCCCTGAGTGCAAGCACTGATTGTTCGCGGGGGGAGAGGTTGATTGGCAGACGGCTCAGGTCTGAGGGGCACCACGAGGGCATGTCGGGGTCCTGGTTGGAGTTTACTGTGAGCTTCACCAGCGCGGACTGCAATGCGCTCCCGTACTTCGGCGAGATCCTGCCCGGGGGCTCCCCGAACCTTCCTCCACCCCTCCCGCGTCGCTCCTCCAGACTTCCCTCGCCCACCCGGCGCGTCCTCGCGACGTATGCGTCGGCCTCGTACTCGTTCCTGCGAGTGAGCCAGTCCGAGAAGAGGCCCAGGAACCAGTCCAGGGGGGGGCCCAGCAGGTGACTGTCGATGCAGGCGCCGACGTGCACCATCGGCGCAGGCAGCATCAGCGACGCAGCCAGCAGAGGGCTGTGCGCCGCCCAGCCCACCGCCGCGTACGTCGCAAACGAGGTGACGGCCGACACCATCATGCTCTGGTGCAGGTGGCCGCGCGCCGCGTGGGCCAACTCGTGCGCCAAGATGGCGACGATCTCGTCATCCGTCATCGCCTGCGTGGCGCCAGAGGCCGCTGCTGCCTCGCCGCCCTCCGCGGAGAGGTCCACGTCCTGCACCAGGCGGGTCAGCGACTGGATGCCAGCGTCTGCGCTCGTCAGGATCTGCGAGGCGCCTGTGCCCACGGGCTCCGCGTCGCGAGCGTGGGCGCCCAAGAACAGCGTGTCGTAGAGGCCGATGATGGAGGTGCCGAGGCCGCCGACGAAGGCGTTGGCGCGGGCGTCCCTGTGGCTCCCGTCCACGAGGTAGATCTCCGCGATGCTTATGTCGCGCTCCCGGGCCCACCCGAGCACCTTTTGGAGGCCTGGAAATGGGCACCAACACCAACACAGGCTGTTGCCTCCACAGGGGGAAGATGATCTTACATCTCGGTGTTGGTGGTAATATGTGGGCAGCCTTGGAAGCCATAATATGACCACCATCACCGAGATCGGGATCCATCGGTGGAGGCACACCGCCGACACTGGTGTTGGTGTCAACGTCGAGGCCTGCGAACCTTCTCCCGGAGGTCCCTGCCAGAGCGGGCGCCCACGCGAGCGGAGGGGCCGCCGGGGGTCCAGCCGAGCTCCCCCACTCGGCCCAGCAGCTCTGCGGCGCCCACGCCGCTCGGCGCCGGCGCCGAGGCGTAGACCTGCGGGTCGGGGCTGGGCCTCTGGCCCCTGCGGAGCTTCGCGGCGATGACTAGCGACGAGCCCTTGCCGAGGCGCAGCACCAGCTGCCCAGGGCTCCTGTCGTCCGTCTCGAGCAGCAGCCGAGAGGGGCCGCTGTCGGTGCGGTTCAGATAGATCCGGTTCAGCGATACTAGAAGAAGAGAAAAACACATGCACATAAACGTTAGGCGCTCCGCGCGGATCTCTTGGATTCGCGCCGGACCCCCCTCCCTGTCGCGCGCGGAGCGCGCCAGGGGCGGCGCCGGAGGCGTCGCCGGGGGGGCCAGGCGCGGATCCAAGAAATCCGCGCGGGGCGCCAAAAGTTTATGTGTATGTGGTTTTTTCTTCTTCGAGATACCAAAGGCCGTGCCCCGTCCGAAGTGCTGGCGAGGGGGAAGCCCCGCCCCACCGCGAACACATTGTTCGGGAATGGGTTGCGCATGCCAACCACCGCGGGAGCGATCAAAGAGAAATTGTACTGCACAACTATGCTAACAGCGACCGTAGCCGCCCACATGCCAAGCCACCCGTAGCGGAACTGCAGCAGCGCCAGATAGAAAAACCTGCCGGGGATGCCGAGCACGAGCGCCTGCTTGAGCCCAGCGACGAAGGACCTGCGGAAGCTCGCGTCCGTCACCGTCAGCGGGTTCGCGAAGCCGAACTCTAGGTCGATCGACTGGCCCCAGTACTGAAAGGGCGCGGAGACCAAGAACAGGCAGGCGGTGAAGAGCGAGAGGTAGACGCTGCCGAGCAGCAGCTCCGAAGCGCTGTGCCGCTCGAGACAGCGCCGCGCCGCGCCGCAGCCGCAGCAGCAGCAGCAGCAGCGCCGGCCGCACAGGTCCAGCGCCCCGGCAAGCCAGCCAGCCAGCGCGCGGAGGGGCGCGCAGAGCCAGTGGTCTTCGTAGAACGCGGCCAGCCTCTGCCCCGAGGCTCGCAGGCCGGCGTCGACGCCGGAGAAGGCGCCGCAGAGGACGAAGGCCATCACCGCCGAGAAGCGGGCGGCGCGGTGCAGCAGGCTCAGGCCGAGCGTTCGCCGGGTGTACCTGACGGACTGCAGCCGCTCGGCCTCGGGGTAGTCGCCCGCGAGCCCGGGCGGGAGCCGCGCGTCGACGGAGCCGAGGTACACCAGGTCCGCCAGCATGTTCACTGCGAAGACGACGGCGTAGACCCCGACGATGGCGCCGAAGACGGCCTCCGGCCGCACGGGGAAGCGGCCGAGCAGCAGCGGCGCGGCAGGCGGCCACTTCCCCGGCGCGCCCACCGCGCCCGCAACAGCAGCGGCGCCGTAGCTCCCCTGCTGCGCGGGGCCCCGCGCCAGGCTCTGCGTCTCCATGGGCGGAAGGCTTCTTTACACCACCACCGTTCGGCAGCGAGCCCAGGGGAGAGGTCAGAGGGGGCGGGCATGTTCACAAGGCTCGGAAGGCCTCGGGCCTTCTGAGAAGGTTTTGAAGCCTTCCCCGAAGACACACTGGACTTCGCAAAAGGCGCGAGGGCTTCTGAGAAGCCGCGGGCCGCCGCCTCTTGAGAAGCCCGGGCTCGCCGCCGACTGGCCAGGGCCGTCCTGCGCCCTGGTATGGATCATATGCCCTCCTGGCCGAGGCCAGGAGGGCTTGCTTGCAATTGCACACCATCCTGAGAGGGTGGCCGATGCATCGGCGATGCGGCGCGATCCTCCGACCCCATCTGCTCCGACCCCATCGAGGAGGCCCAGAATCCTGGGGCCCAGGATGGCCCTCGCCGGGCACCGTGGCGGCGTAGAGGACCCCTCTGCGCACCTCCAGGTCTGGCCCCGCCGCGCCCGGCCCCGCTGCGGCCGCGCCCGGCGACTCCGGCATCGCGGGCCGCAGCCCGCGGCCCGCGGCCGCCGTCGGCGCACGGAGGGCACGGGCGCTCCCCGCGGCCGGCTACATTCTGAGCCTGGGCTGGGACCTCGGCGCCCCTCGGAGGCGCCCGGGGGCCTCCTGAGAGAGGCTGCGCGCGGGGGTGCCGAAGTGCCGGAGGCTCTCCGACGGCGCATCCTGCAGCGATCGGAGGTCCTCGGAGGCCTTCGAAAGGTTCTCGGAGGGTCCTGGATGTGCTCGGGAGCGGAGCGGATCTCGGCGAGAGCATGTTCCCGAAGCGCTGCTTGCACGCAGTGGATGGCGGCTCCGTGCTCGTCGTCGCCACCCCGTCGCCGCTTCGTCGAAGCCCGCCGTCTGGACCTGACGGGCGGCCTGGCGGATCCGTGCTCGCCGTCGCCACCCAGTCGCCGCCACGTCGCCGCCCATCGTCTGGGCCTGACCGTCGGTCTGGCGGTTCCGTGCTCGCCGTCACCGCCCCGTCGTCGCCGTCGCCGCCCAGCCTCCGCCTCGCATAAATTGCGCCGCATAGATTCCCCTTTCTAAAACAAAATTCGGATCTACCCCCTCCCGAAATGAACGGCCCCCGTTTTCGTACTGCAATTTGCATGAGATTATGCCCCAATCGTCATATGAAATATGAATCCAGACCATCCCACATGGGACGAAACGCACACGCGCGCGTCGTCGCGCGCGCATGCCGAAATCCTTCAAGTGTCCCGGTGACATTTAAAAACACATGGTTTCGCAACACGAATTTTCAAACAAAACAATGCGCTCGGGCTCTTGCGAATTCTAAAGACAACCATTGGTTGCTTTCAACATGTTCACAGAATGCTACCAAACGGGCCTCTCGCGTGCGCATGTCGAAATCGTTCGAACGCCCTTGCGCGCTGTCGCGAGAATTCCTTGACATAAACGCGACGACATGCACACGCGCGCGTCGTCGCGCGCGAATGCTGAAATCCGTGAAAACAACCTTCGCGTTCGCAGGGATGTAGAAATCGAGTGTCCCGAAAACATAATAAAACACGTGGCTTCGCAACATCAGTTTTCGAAACTGCATGCGCTCGCGTTCCTGCGATTTTTTTTGAAAACCACAGATGTTCAACACATCTATAAATTGAGCCAAACGGGCCTCTCGCGCCGCATGTCGAAATCATTGAGAGAGAGCGTGACCCACCGCCGCTTTACTATGGAGAATTGCCCCCCTTCCTCCGGAACCCAGGGGTCCCCTCCGCGATCGGTTGTTACTGTGGCCCGTTGGGTGTTAGTGTCGCCCGTTTGGTGTTAGTGTGGCCCGTCACGCGGCTGGATGGGAGTTACTGTGGCCCGCGCTGACCGTTCAATGAAAAGTATCATGTACAGCTATCTCATGTTAGATCTGGAGAGACTCGCAACCCTTAAGGGAATGCACTCCCGCGCAGGCAAAAGTCGCCACAGTAACTCCCGCCTGGGACCAACGTAATAATAATAGTAAGAATAGTAAAGTAGTCGTAGTAGTAATAACATTGATAGTAGCACTCGTAGTTGTAGTAGTAGTCGTCGTAGCCGCAGTAGTGCTAGTAGTAGTAGTAGTAGTAGTAGTAGTAGTAGTAGTAGTAGTAGTAGTAGTAGTAGTAGTAGTAGTAGTAGTAGTAGTAGTAGTAGTAGTGGTAGTAGTAGTAGTGGTAGTAATAGTAGTAGTAGTAGTAGACGTACTAATAGCACTAGCAATAGTAGTCGTAGTCGTCGTCGTCGTCGTCGAATAGTAGTAGTAGTAGTAATGAAAAAAGTAGCAGTAGTAGTAGTAGTAGCAGTAGTTGTAGTAGTAGTAGCAGTAGTAGTAGTAGTACTAGTAGTAGCAGCAGCAGTAGTACTAGTAGTAGTAGGAGAAGTAGTAGTAGTAGAAAAAAGTACTAGCAGTAGTCATGGTGTTATAGCTAGTAGACGCAGTAACAGTAGTAGAAGTAGTTGTTGTTGAAGTAGTTGTAGTAGTAGTAGATGTAGTAGTAGTAGTAGTAGTAGTAGTAGTAGTAGTAGTAGTAGTAGTAGTAGTAGTAGTAGTAGTAGTCGTCGTAGTCGTAGTCGTAGTCGTAGTAGCAGCAGTAGTAGTAGCACTAGTAGTAGTAATACGAATAGTAGTAGAGGTAAGTAGTAGTCGCAGTAGCAGTCGTAGCAGCAGCAGCAGTAGTAGTGGAAGTAGTAGTGGCAGTAGTAGTAGTAGCAGTAGTAGCAGTAGCAGGGGCAGAATCAATAGTAGTAGTAGTCGTCGTCGTAGTCGCAATTGTAGTAGTGATAGTGATAGTAAGAATAGTAGTAGTCGTGGTAGTAGTAGTAGTAGTAGTAGTAGTAGTAGTAGTAGTAGTAGTAGTAGTAGTAGTAGTAGTAGTAGTAGTAGTAGTAGTAGTAGTAGTAGTAGTAGTAGTAGTAGTAGTGGTAGTAGTAGTAGTAGTAGTAGTAGTAGCAGTAGTAGCAGTAGTAGTAGTAGTAGTAGTAGTAGTACTAGTAGCAGCAGTAGCAGTAGTAGCCGTAGTAGTTGTAATAGTAGTAGTCGCCGTAGTAGTAATAGTAGTAGTAGAAGTAGTAGAAGTAGCAGTAGCAGCAGTACTAGAAGTAGTAGTACTAGCAGCTAGTATAAATACTAGTATTCGTACTAATAGTAGTCCCCGTCGTAGTAATAGTAAGGAGGGAAAGAAGGGGAAGGAGGGAGGGAGAAGGAAGAAATGAGGAGGCAAAAAGGGAGGCGGTTCCAAGAGGCTCTTCGGCGGCTCCAAGAGGCTCTTCGGCGACTCGAAGAGGCTCTTCGGCGGCTCGAAGAGGCTCTTCGGAGAGCCCCAGAGGCTCTTCCAAGAGCCCCAGAGGCTCTTCCGAGAGGCTCTTCGGTGACTGCGGACAGCCCCAGAGGCTCTTCCGAGAGGCTCTTCGGTGACTTCGGAAAGCCCCAGAGGCTCTTCCGAGAGGCTCTTCGGTGAAGGGGGGGGAAGGAGCCTCTTTGGAGACCCTCCCCCCGCACCGTACTCGTTGATTAATACCCTCCGGAAGAACCCTAGCCATACTAACACCCACCAGGCCGCACTAACAACCAACGGGCCGCAGTAACACCTTATCTCGGTCCCCCCCCTTTCCAAAAATCCCCTGCTCGAACCTCCCCTCCTTTCCCGCCCCGGCAACCCCCCCCCCCGACCCCCCTCTCCAAAAAACCAGAGGGGGGGACTACCAATTCCAACCGCCCACCCCCCCTCCAAAACACCGTAGGGCGTCACTACCGGTTCAAACCACCACCCCCTCCAGAAAACCGGGGGCCGGGGGAGGTCACCACTGCTTCGATGCCCCCCCCCGCCTCGCCGCCGGCAAACGAGTCCCGGGTCCCCACCACCGTCCTCACCACCGTCCCCAACACTGTCCCCACCACCACCGTCCACCGTCCCCACCACTGTCCACTGTCCCCAGCGTTCCCACTACCGTCCCCAGTGTCCCCACCGGTGCCCCCACCACTGTCGCACTGTCCCCAGTGTACCCACCACTGTCCCCACAACTGTCCCAGTCTCCCCACTGTCCCCACAACTGTTCCACTGTCGCCACTGTCCCCACCACTGTCCAGCTGTCCCCATCGTCCCCGCCACTGTCCCACTGACCTGTCACACTGTGCCCACCACTGTCGCAGTGTCCCCGCTGTACCCCACCACTGTCCCCACTGTACCACTGTCCCCCCACCGTCCAAACACCGTCCTCACCACCCCAATCACCACTGCCCCCACCATGTACGTCCCCACCACTGTCCCACTCTTCCCATTGTCCCCACCACTGTCCCCACTGTCCCCGCACCACTTTCTCCACCACCATCGTCCCCACCACTGTTCCACTGCCCCCACTGTCCCCGCCACTGTCCCACTGTCCCCACTGCTCCCACCAACGTCCCCATTGTCCTCACCAATGCCCCCACCAGTGACTCACTGTCCCCACTGTCCCAACCACAGTCCCAGTCCCCACCACGGTCCCACTTTCCCCACTGTCAGACTGTCACCATTGTCCCCGCCACTGTCCCACTGTCACCACTGTCCCCGCCACTATCCCACTGTCCCCACTGTTCCCACCACTGTCCCACTGTCCCCACCGTTGTCCCACTGCACTTGCTGTCCCAGGTGTCCCCACTGTCCCCACCACTGGCCCACTGTCCCCAGTGTCCCAACCACTCTCCCCACTGTACCACTGCCCCATTGCCCCACCACCGTCCCCACCACCGCCCTCACCACTGTCCCCACCACTACCGTCCCCACCAGTGTCCCACTGTCCCGTGTCCCCACCACCACCGTCCCCACCACTGTCCCCAGTGTCCCCACTGTCCCCCCCGCCGTCCCCACTGTCCCCAGTCTCCCCACCACTGTCCCCACGTGTGCCCCCACCACCGTCGCACGGTCCGCACTGTCTCCCCTATTGTCCCCACCACGGTCCCACTCTCCCAACTGTCCCCATTGTCACTGCCACTGTCCCAGTGTCGCCACTCCCCACCACCATCCCCACCACCGTCCCGACCGCTTTCCCGACCACAACCTCCCACCCAGAGTGGGTGAAGCTGGGGAGTCGTTCGCCGGCGGCGAGGACGGAGGGGGGATTTCGAAACGGTAAAGACCCCTCCGTTTTCAAGTGGGGGTGGGGGCACCGCACAGACAGAAATGAGTTCGTCGCGAGCTCTCAGTCTTTCTGTTTTTTTCTGGCTCCTAAACGGGGAAAAATGGCGATCGACTTTTTGAGACACCCCACGCGCGCCCATCATACCCCCACCAACCTTGTCTCGCACCACACACACGCCCATCATACCCCTATCTCAGACGGGACGCCCTCGAAGGGATCAAAGCCCATTACTTCCCTCAAGACAATGCAGACGGCAAGGCAGACGGGCAGGGATACCTCATAGTAAGACGTAGGTCACGGGCCTTTCGTTCACCAATATACGTCTAGTACGCGCCGGCGCTGAAGCCGAACGGCGGCAGAGCGTCATATTTGAGTCGGGATTACGTGGGCGATCGAGCAGCTCTGGCGAAGACGCAGCACTGAAGAAAACGGGGAGTAGAACTGTCGAAACCCTGGGACATTCTAGACTCAGCCAGGATACCCCGTCGCTGTCTGGCATGACCGCGCGGCAATGCAGGAGGCAGGCTGAACCCTGCCGGGGAGTTCGCTCGTGCTCTTGCGGGTGACACTGGAGGAGCTCACACGAGCAAACATGGTGCAAGTCCGGCCAGGCCGCATCTGCGTCTGCTCGGTGACCCGAAGCCGCAACCAACAAGGTCAGAAAGCCTGTCACGAAGATCACGCACAGAGGATGACACAGGGGTCACGCGGGGAGGCGAGGAGGACGAGGTGCGACGACGCCTAGACTGGGCAAGGTGGAGTATATGAGTAATGGAAAACGATCATGAGGGATATGCCCCTCTCTAGCACCATCGCATCGGGCTCACCATCTCAGTCATCTTGAGGCTGGGAGCCGCCGCGGACTCGCTGCACCTTCACCGCTTCGCTGGGCGCGCCTGGGGCGGTACTGCCGGGCGAGGACTTGCGGTCGTCGCCATCGCCTCCAGCGGCGCGCGAAGCCGCGGGCAACGCTCGACTTCTTCGTCTCCGCAGCGCACTTTCCTCCTGGTTTTGTCGCCGCCAGGCTTGGCCAGGCACTTGCTCTTGTTCTCGCCCTCGCTCTCGCCCGTCATGACGGCCGCTTGTCCACGAGAGCAGATTGGCGCCACGTTGGCAGTGGGCTGCAAGACCGGACGCGGCAGACATGGGCGCCATCCTGAGCTGTGGGCGGCATCGCTGCCACACTCCCTCTCCTGGCCCCACGATTGCTCGCCGCGCGCCCTCTCCTGGCCCTTCACTACTCGGGCGGATGCGACGGGGACCTCACCGCGAACGAGTGGCCAGCGCGCGCTCGCCCCTCGGCGGCGGGGAGCGCGGCGACCTTGCCGTCGCGCGCTCGACCCGCGGCGACGGGGGGCGCGGCGATCTCCCCTCCGAGCCAGCACGCGAGGGCCACTCCTGCAGGCGGGCAGCCCGAGGGCTGCATCATCCGCGCGAAGGAACGGACCCTGGCCGTTGCCCAGCCAGGTACGGAAGTCGACCAACTGCCAGCACCCGCGGCACTCGAACCGCCCCCGAGGCGACCCAGCCGACCACGTCTGGAACAACTTGGTGCTTGTTGAGCAGCACCATGGGCACACCGACGGCCCCGCTGGCGCACATTGGCCGCGCGTCGATCACCCACCCCACGGCGCGACAACCCGCGGGCGAAGGCAGCGCGCATCATGGGCCTCATGACCGCGCCAATGAACAGACACCGCCGCGCCGTCGCGTTTGGAACGGGAGCGCTGATGTGCTAGCCCCCGAGGAACCTGCGCACCTCTTCGCCGCCTTCGCTGCAAGGCGGCCGCCGCGTCGGCCCCTCGCCGAGCGCCGCGGGCGGCGCCTGAGGCGGAGTTGGCGCGGCCGCGCAAGTCGGCCGCGCGCGCGCGGGACAAGACGTCGCGGCGGGCGCGCGGCGCCGACGAGGCGGCGGAAAGCGGCTGCGAGAACGAACGCCGGCGGCCACTTGAGCCCGCAGGTGCCCTCAAGGCACCAGCTATCCTGCAACGGCCCCCTGGGCGCGCCCCTCCTCGACGAGCCCATCCAAATAATCAGCGGCGAACCTCCGACGCTGGCAGTGGCATAACTGGCGGCATTCCTGGCGGCCTCACTATACTTGGCGGCTGCGCCTGTCGGCCGCCAGGCGGAGGCAAGACGCTGTTGGATCCGTCCTCGAATGCCGGCGGCGGCATCGGAGGCCGCGCCCGCGCGAGCGGCGGCGGGCGGCCGCCGGCGCGCAGCGGCGCGCGCCGGGCGCCCGTGCGCGGGCCCGCTGGCGCGCGAACCAAACCGCGAAGCCTCGAGCGCCACGGCCGGCCAGCGCACGGATCTGCCTGCGGGAAAACGGCCGCGGATCCATCGCCCTCCCTTCTCTGGCTACCCTGGCTGGCCACGTGTCTCTCGCGCGCGCATGAACGCGCGCATCTGCATATTACGCATGCTTCTGCGCCAACACTCTTGCCAACAACTATGTCTGGATTGTTGCGCTGCAACATGCATCCCAGCCGCGGCACACACGACGGCAAACCTCCCGAACAAGATGATGATGAAAAAAACAAGCGGTGTGAGAGGATGGAGAACGAGCTAGTCCGTATACTCCTGATTGTTCATTGCCTGAGGGCGGCTGGCGCTCCTGGCCTGATAGCACAGTGAGTTGACCAGCCGCGTTGAGGGTGACAGTGCAAGGCGTGCGTGACCACTGGCGGGAGCCACCGGCTACGTCGCGGAGGGCAGATCGGTCGACGATGCCATTGGTCAGCCCGTCCGCGACCATTTCTCGGGTATCTTCCCAGATCAGGGCCCATGATTGCCCCGAGCACACAAGGTCACGGAGCCAGGGCACGCGCGGCAACAGCGAGTGTTATGCCAGTGGCTGCGAATTCGTAGCCGCAGCGTCTGTGACCACACCCATGGAGTCCAGACAAAGTTCGATTTGCAGAGCGAGGGGCTGCTGACCATCTCGTTGGTGGCGCGCCGCTTCGTGGCCACGCGGGCCCTTGAGCCCTCGTGGAATGCGGCGGCCAGAGCGAGGCCGTGATCCGTCGAGCTGATCGCGGCCATCAACTCACTGGCAAAAATGCTTCGTGCCACCGGCTTAAACTCCCCGCAGTGCCAGTCTAATAGGCGGCACGCTTGCCGACCGACGAATGCCCGCTGCGTTCCGCCACTGTGCTCCGTGGCGCGCATACGCAGGAAAGGGGCCCCTCTGAGCGCCCGTCCCGCGTCGACGCCTTGCTTCTGTTTCTTTCTGAATGCTGCTTCAGTCTGTCTCCAATTGACCTGCGCAGCGCGTCCGCGGATAGTGGATCCGCAGCGGCGTGGCCTGGGCCCATCCCACCAGAGTGTTGAGCTTGCGCACGTGGCTGCACGTCTGAGCGGCCGCGCGGCGCTGGAGTGCCACCACGTACACATGCAACTCGACTCGGGTGATGAGCACGAAGGCCAAGGCCATGAGCAGGCTGAGGCATAGTCTGGCCAGCTCCTCGGAGGCGAGTTCAGAGTCAGACATGCCAACGAGCTCGGTACTCCATATTTGCTTCAGGGCCCGGATGTAGTCGATGTGGTCCAGCCCATATCCACCGTTGCGCGCGGGAGTGGCGCGTTCTGCGGCATGTGCGGGCCCCCTGGCTGACGTCCAGCTCATCTTTGCCAAAGTCATCCTCTCAACACTTACGCAACGGAACCTTCTCACGAGTCCGTCCTGCTACTCTGTTTGATGTCGTCAACGTGCGTGGTGGCCAGCAGGACGAACTCGGCAGCGCCGCGGGGGCCGCCAGCTCATCCAGGCAAGAAACAGGAGATCGAGGGCGGTGGAAGAGGAGGAGGAGGAGGAGGAGGAGGAGGAGGAGGAGGAGGGGGAGAAGGGATAAGGGATGGAAGGACGAGGGAGGAAGGAGGAAGAGGAACAGTAACTGAGACAGGGGAACGTGGAGGGAGGGAGAAGGCAGAGAGGAGGGAACGAGGGAATGAGCGAAGGGAGGGAGGGAGGAACGGAGTGAAGGAGGGGGGGGAGGAGGGGGGGAAGGAGGGAGGGAGGCGCAGAGCGGACGGACGAAGCAACCCCCCTCGCGGGACAATGGCGTGCCCGCTTTTCACGACCGCCACGACAGGACCCGGGATGGCTGACCTGTACGGCGGCGCCTGGCCGTGAAAAAAAACGAGGCGCCGGCCGCGCCCAGCAGGGCACCGTGGCGGCGGCAACGGCCTCGGCCCTCGCTCCGCGGGGTGCCCTTGGAGGCGAGGCGAAGCGGCCGGCAAACTGCCTCTCAGACTCCGCCGAGGGCGCTGCCGATCCGCGGCGAGCGAGGGGGGGGAGGCGAGAAGGAGAAAGACCTTCTCGGAAGGCTCGGAGGCGAGAAGTTCTCCGAGCCCTCCCCGAAGACGCGGGGAACTTCGCTCCGCATGCGCGGGGGGCTCCTGAGAAATCCAGCCGTCTCCTGAGAAGGCCTCCTCCTTCTCACTTCCCCCCCTCACCCGCCGCCGAGCCCCCGCCCCGGCCGCCTGGGCCGAGGACGAGCGGTCGCGGCCGCGGTCGCGGCCGCGGTCGCGGTCGCGGCCCTGCCTCGCGGAAGGGCCTCTCGGGGCGGCCGAACGCCGACGTCTCCAGAGCCGCGCCGCTGCGGGGCGCTGCCGGGGAGGGCCGGCCGCGGGGTTTGCGGAGAGCCCGCGCACAGGGCGGCGGCCTCCTGGAGTGGCGGCTGGGGGGCACCTCCCCACTGCGGCCTCCTTCCCTCCCCTCCCCCACGTCGCAACCTCTCCGTTTCCTCCTCCTCGGCCTCCTCCTCCTCCTCCTCGGCCTCCTCCTGCTCCTCCTCCTCCTCCTCCTCCTCCTCCTCCTCGGCCTCCTCCTGCTCCTCATCCTCCTCCTCCTCCTCCTCCTCCTCCTCCTCCTCCTCCTCCTCCTCCTCCTCCTCCTTCTCTCCTCACTCTGCGCTCCTGGCCCCTGGCCCCTGGCTCCTGGCTCCTCCTCCTCCTCGTCCTCGCTCCTCCACCTCCTCGTTCCTCCATATCCTCCTTCCTCGGTCCTCCTCCCTCGTCCTCCCCTCTAGGCAGCCCAAGAGGGGGTCCAGCTCAAAAGGGGTGCTTTGGGAATCTGGATACGAGATACGAGTCGTCACACTGACGTGCTCCCAAGATGTGGCTGTCCAATGCAGCTCGTATCCCGAACTTGTTTTGCCTGGGTCTTGAAGCTGCGTGCGAATTCGAAGTGCCAAAGACGGTCGATTCGCTGCCAGGGGGTCTCCGATTGCGCCGTCGGAGTCGGAAGACGCTTTGGGGTCCCCGCCTCCCCCGCTCGGGGCCTTGCAAGCGATCAGGTCGGACCTGACCGGTCACGCCACACTCGACCAAAACAGCACTGCAATGCAACCCGCCAACTGCAAAACATTATACTAATACTGGGGGGTGCCACAGATTTGCGGCGTGCAGTCTGTCTGGGGCTCAGTGTGCATTGCTCGAGCGTGCAATGCGATGTTCGCAATGCGATGCAATCCAATTCTCTGGAGCAATACGTGTGACCGCACACCACGACACCGAGAAGCATCGGCAGCGCCGTGCGAGCCAGCTGCCACCCCCTCCTGCTCGCGCTGCCTCTCCTGACCCTCTCTCTGCTGCCCCCCCGCCCTTCCTTCTCCAACTCCCCCCTCGCCCATTCCTCCCCTCCAGCTTCACACAAGAAGCCTGGCTCCTTGACATCCAGGAGCGCTTCAAGCGGACCCCGTCACCTCAGCGTCCAGGCGCAGTGCTGGTGCAGCTCCTGCAGCGGGGACTGCTCGAAAAAAAGATTGATCCACGAACCCAGAAAGGGATAACTGTCCTAACTTGGGTAATGGGAAATAGTAATGATGAGGATGTCAATGGTGATGATGCCGTGCCAAGGGGCTGTCCTGTGCTGTGCTGCGCTGCGATGTCCCTTACTGTGCCATGCTGAGCTGAACTGTGCTGGCCCATACTGTGCTGTACGGGGAGGCTCGTAACACTAAGGGCTGGAATCACTGCGGGCAGAATGGTTAGGGGAGGCAGAGTCGCGCTCACGCGGTCCTTCGCAAATATAACGCGAAAGGAACCCGCGCCCCGAACACAACAAAACAGAAATTTCACGGTAGTACGAGAAGCCCCCCCCCCTTCGGCCCGACGGCAGTCTCCGTGCAGGAAGAAGCGCATCGCAACGGCGGCGGAGAGGTTGGCCCAGTACACGAAACACAATCGCGTCGGACCCTCCCTGGGATGCCCCGCTCGGGCCGAGGAGCAATACACAGAGGGCTGCCCGAGAGACCATCAAACGAAAACGTCGGCATGGGCAACCCCAGGGGGCGACCCTCGCCGAAATGATTAAAACACAGTCGGGCGACCCCCCCTCCAAAAAAAAGACAATGATTCGGTCGCGGCCACGGTCATCCCGCCCAAACCGCTGACCAGAGAAAAACACAAAAGGCTG